TCTCTCTCTCTCTCTCTCTCTCTCTCTCTCTCTCTCTCTGCCTCTCTCTTTCCTCGATCTCGCGCGCACGCTCTCTCTGTCTCTCTCACCTTTCTCAATCGTCTGTGCTGTGAACAACGTGTTGAGATATTGATTACCCATAGATGGCGCCACGATACAATATATGCTAAAAGCAGTGCTCAACGCAGTGCTAGAGCAGTAAAACTAGCTGCACAATTATGCTCGAAGTCACGCTGCAGACATTTAATTAAGGCCCTATTTCTAATTTTGCGGCAACTATACTATGTCAAATAATGCCTACAGAAAGTTCAATATACAACTGCCAGTGTTTCACCTCATACTCACGATGATCTGACATAACGGTCGATAGGTGGCGCTATGCTGCTAATTTTACACACGCTCATCGTGCTGATCACTGAGGTGTTCGTAGCAAGAATAATGCAACATCATGTAATTACCTGAATGTTATTATATACAGCTCGGTTTATTTATTATACATATAAATACATATATATATATATATAAATACTATATATATTTATTTATAATATAAATGTTTTATCTGCTAAAGTGTTCTTTTTTCGTCTCTAGGGGACTGCCCAGTTGACCAGTTTCTTTGCTCCGATGGCAACTGCATTTCTTCGACGTCTGTTTGCAACCACAAACCAGACTGTCCCCACGGCGAAGATGAAAGAAACCAATGCGGTATGTTTCTTAAATCTAGTAACCATTTTATCGCCTAGATGCTCCATAATAAAGCATCTTGCTCCAATACCTAACTCAGTTTTCTTTTTATGCGTATTATACTTGTATGTAGTTGATTGTCTCCATCCAGTACTAACAACAACAACAGTAGCAATGTATAATAATAAGAAGAAAAAGAAGAAGAAGACGAAGAAGAAGAAAAATAATTTACACGTAAACGCAGTGTACAATATTTATGTACTACTACTAGTTAATACTAGTTATGTACTACTCTACTAACATTAGTTGTATATTGACTTTTTATCCACAGTACGCACACAAACAGTCAACGTAGTTACTTACATCGTTTAACATGATTCAATCTTGTTTAGTATTGTTAATTACCGACTTTACTATGTTTCGTACGTAGATTTGAGATAGCAATGCTAATCTTTTGCAAAGCTATTTTTCCTGGTGTAGCATTGTAAAGTACACATTGCAGATATCCATAGTCGCTCCCATATTTTATGGAAAGTTTCTGTTGGCCTTGAATGCACGTTTGTGCGAAGCCTAGGCAACGATATAGTTCTACGCACAACTAGACAATATATAGATATTGACAGACAGCCATACCACAGATGCGAGGGCGTCCAGAACTCACCACACACACACACACACACACACACACACACACACACACACACACACACACACACACACACACACACACACACACACACA